GACAGAGGGAGCTCTGTTGAACAGACGGTGACAACCAGGACGTAAGATACTGACAACACATCTCATGGTGCAAATGCACACAGACGTTGGCTGACCGGCATGTAAGCGCTCCTTCAGTGAGTCCCTGAGGGCACACAGTGCTGCGCATTAGGAGAGCCACTGAGTCACCTTGCCTCAGTCCACCCGAAGAGCGTTCAGCAATTCACTGTCAGTTCTGCCCTCATCGTTATGCCCCCCAACTAAAGCGAAGGAGCTGAACAACTAAATGCTCCTATTTTCGCATTTATTTTTGTAGATTTATTCATGAATGACATGAACAATCGCTTTGTTATCTTTAAGTGTGTCAAACATGACAGTGCAACAGTGATCCAACTAGAGCTGCAATTAATGATTATTTTAATATTCTATTAACGTGACAATTATTTTTTTATTTGTGATGAAGTGGATAAAACATTTTTTATATTTCTGTCCCTTTATTAAAAAATAGGATATTGTTGACAATGAAGAAACTGCACTAGGAGTCGGAGTCAGATCAATTAAACAACAACTAATCGATCAAATTAATCAAAAACTATTTTAGTAATTTACCGTCGTAATCATTTAGCGTCATACTTCTTTTAAAATTGTCCAAATCATCAGATTTCATCCTGTCAACAGCAATAAATCTGATTTGGATAGTCCTTCATCAAAGCTGACTGATTCTCTCGTGTAAAAAGAAAAAAAAAAAACAATCCCAAATAAACAACAATAGTTGGTTCGGAAACAAAAATGTCAAGGTCAGTATTTTCTAACAGCCTTGAATGCAATATATATATATATATATAAAATAAGCGCTTTGTTACAGCTGCTGCTGTTGTGAAAGCGCTATATAAATCAGGATGTATTGTATTGTATATATATATATATACACACACAGAATATTTGATTAAATGGTGGAATAATCACGAGAATAATCATAATCTAACAATGTTTGATAGTGACAGCCCTAAAATGCACAGTGATGGATTGCTCAGGGATGAGTCACGTGTTTGGTCAAAACCATCAAAATCATCAAAAATATTGATCATTGTATTCCAAAGTAAAAACAGATGAATGCAAATGTCTTTCTTTGATTGATCACGAGACTCAACTAGATAATCTGTCCTCTTTCACAGAGAACTACAGAAACCAGATCATATTTACTGAGGCTGAATGTCCAAGGATTTGGACAATTTTAGGTAAACAAAGTCGATACATGATTAATCAATTATCAAAATAGTTGTCCGATAATTTGATTATCGATTCATTGCCTATTGATTATTTGTTGCACCTCGAGATCTAACAACCAATAATGGCAATAAAGTTGATAAATGATGAATTTGCCGACTATCTTTTTGCACTGTACAGCAACAATGCAGAGCTGGTCTGCTTTTTGTCTACGAAGCATTCCAAGCACTCACCTATATGGATGCTTGACCAAATATTTACGAGTTGTGTTACGGCCTTTATAGTAGCTTGTGTTATTTCATCTATAATGATGAAATACAGAACTTTGACGTTTTAACATGGACTTCATTTCATTCGCAAGCACATCCTAATGAGATGAAATACAAGAGCTGTATCAGAAATTCTTCCTGAAAGGAGACATGACAACAGCTCTCAGCATTAACAAAGCAATTTGTGCCATACCTCTACTTACCTTGCGTGATGCCACCACTGCTTAATTTAATCATAATCCCCGCCTCTTATCTTTGCGTTGCAAACCATACATGTTGCCATTATCCTTTTGTTACCCTGTTGTGCAAAACAGCTCGCTCTCTGGGGCATCTATTTTTGTTACTTGGCTATTTAATTTTTCACTTGATGGGTGGCCGGGCATTTCAGAGACCCTATTATTTGGTGACAGGCCATTAAAACGTCAATGTTTTATGCGACATCTTTAACAGATAATAATCTGTTTTAATAAACATTGTCAGCGAGGTATCTTTTTCACCACTAGGATGGCAGTCAAATAAAATCTCTTCTATGATCCTGGTCGATCTGTGATTTGTTTATTCTTAAAGCAAATGTTTTACTTGAGGGAAGCACTGTGAGTCAGTTGTTAGCATGTCTGCCTCAGTTGTGAGGTATGCGTTCCCTTTTGGGAGTTTGAATGTTCGCCCTCTACTTGTGTGTTTTTTTTATTTTTTTATGGGTACAATGGGTTTCTCACACACTCCAAAAGCATGCATAATAGTTTTTTTTTAAGACTCAAAATTGTACATATTGCAGGTGTGAATGGTTGTTTATCAGTGTGTACCCGAACAATAATTAGCGACAAGTCCAGGGATGATACTTCCTCTTGCCAAAGTTAGCTGGGATAGTCTCCAGCTCACCTGCAACCTTAATTATGACAAGCGCTGCATGAAATGAATGGATGTTACCATTGAAATTAATCGGATTTGGAATACCTGTTCTGTCAGAGCTGCACGGTGGACGACTGCTTAGCATGTCCACGTCACAGTGCAGAGGTGCAGGGTTCGATTCCGGCTACGGCCTTCCTGTGTGGAGTTTGCATGTTCTCCCCGTGCTAGCATTGGTTTTCTCCGGGTACTCCGGTCTCCTCCCACATTCCTAAAATATGTATGGCAGGTTGATATAACACTCTAAATTGTGCCTAGGTGTGATTGTAAGCGCGAATAGTTGTTCGTCCATGTGTGCCCTGCGATTGACTGGCAACCAGTTCAGGGTGTACCCCGGCTACTGCCCGAAGACAGCTGGGATAGGATCCAGCACCCCCCCGCGACCCTCGTGAGGATAAGCGGATTGGGAAATGGATGGATGGATGGAATACTGTCACTGCTGTAAAACCTTGTTTAACTGTACGGGCAATGCCATTCCTTACAGTCATTAAGTTCAATTCTCCTCATAAATTAATTTTTTAACCTTCTCAATAAGCTTGAAATGAAAACATAACAAATGTGTTCTACTCGACCTGTTGATAACGTGACAAGAATGTGCCAGCGAGCTGGGAGCTCACAAGCCAATCTAGCTGGCAACTCGCAAGACAAGCTTACAACACAAACTCCATCCTCACCACTGCGACTTGTCAAATTGCACTAACTGATGAAGAACATCGAAATCTGAATGTATTATTTCCAAAAAACTGGTCAACATTGTTGTCTAGAATTATACATCTAAAAAGCAAAATGCATGTAGAGTTAAAACCCACGAGAGGCTGTTATGGTTATATTTTTGTCACATTGTATGTGACATTTATGGCATACTTAACAAAGATTTTGTTGGATTTAATAATTGTATAAGCTTCATGGAATTTAGTTTCCACTATAATTACATTTGTTATTTTAAACATTACAAAATGAACACCAGGCCAAATAGTAACATACTAATTACATTCCTGTCAACCTTGTCTTGATCATTAACGGAGAATGGTGAGCATACGGTTGTCGGGAGTAGGGCAATTGCTCACAGCACCACTGTTCGCCACAGGCCATGTAGTCTCTGTGCTATATAAATATTTCAGAAGAATGTGGCAGTGAGGAAAGTTCAAGGTGCCCCCCCCCCCATTGTTTAAAATGGATGGATTTACTTGATCTTTACATATAAAAACAAACAAAACAGCAAAGGGTGTTTTGCGGTTCCTGAAGAATTTTCTTTCATGCTTTTCTCGGTCGTTGATCTTTCAGACTTGGCTGGGATATTTGGATCCAATATGTAGTTGTTCAAAGACACTTGACACTTGAAGCAGGTGGTAGTGTCTCTTGTTCTTTGTTGCGCATCGTCAGTGGGTGTCATCTCTCTGGTCGAATGCTCGCTTAGCAGCTGCTTTGCGCTTTAGATATGCTAAATACCTGGTTATTATCAGTGAGCAGAATGCGCAGTGCACCTTGGGGCATTTGTGCCAAATTGGCATCTTGAGAGCAGATAGTCTTAAATGGCTGTGGGTCGTCAATCTGCCCTACCAGCAGTTTATTGGAATCTTTTTTTCCTACTGTTGACCCTGCAGGGGAACATTAAAAAAAAAGGAGAAAAAAAACATGAACGAGGGGGTGCGTTTGGTCAACGAACTAGAAATATGGATATTTTTTGTTCTGAATGATTTATTATTTTTAGCCAAATGTGATTTCAAGCAAATTCAGGTGAATTGGTTTCTTTCATGTCAATCAATTGGGACTGAGGTTCATGAGTCCGATGGCTGTAATTTGATCAGCTGCAGCACATGCTGAAGCCTTTTTATCTGATTCCAATTCTCAGCCTTTTTTTGCCACCTGTCGCAGCTTTTTTGGAACGTGTTGCAGTCATAAAATTCTAACACCCTAAATTTTATCAGTTTGAACATTAAACGTCTTGTATTTGGAGTACAGTATGTTCAATTAAATATAGGTTGCAAATCATTGTATTCTGTTTTATTTATGTTTAACACAAAGTCCCAACTTCTTTGGAATTAGGTTTCTATATCAAATGGAGTAGCTGCGGAAACTTCGTGTGGACTGAAACACTCAGCCAGAGGACAAAATATGTGTAAATTATAATATCATAATGGGAATAATGTCATAATGGAGGAAAACATAATCAAATAACTATCTCTATACTATCATGTAACTTTTTTTACTATTATTTGACATCTTATTTGCAGTCTTATTTTATCATGACTGTTATGTATGACATTGTTTATTCAAATTATTTTGCATATCACAATATTCAAAGATGATGTTTACACTTTCCACTCCCAACATTGGGTTCACCCGAAATTCAATGACATACTGTATATACCAAATATATACCAAACTTTCTGCCACTCCAACAACACTGCTTTGAGTGAAAGTGTCATCGGGATGGGCTGTATACTGCCATGTTTTTTTTTTCACGTACACATCCACAAAAATTAAGCCCAAAAATGATTTATTTTTCCAATGTATGTAAACTTACAGTCCACCATTTCTACAATAGAACAATGCTATTTCTCTTTGTTTGTTTTTTTTGACAACTTCACTCACTTTCTTACTCTTTCTCTCTTTCAGGTGTGCTCAGTCTACCTGAGGGTCTGACTCTGCAGCAGCAGCGAACAGGAAAGAATGGCGAGGGAAACGCCTACAGCCAGTCTGAACTGCGCTCTGTTGAACAGTGCTTACTGGCCACACGAGTGGGCAGCATCTCTGAACTCAGTGAGTGATTGCTTCTGCATACATATTATTGTGACTGTAGTTTGTCGTGCTATAAAAGTGTTTTGCAGCACTGACAGGGTTTTCTAATGTGTTGCCCCTCGGTAAAGTTAAAAAAAATATATACCGGTATATTAAACACACCTCAGTGTTTTGCACTACAACGAACTGCAACGACAAGGAGGAACATTGTGTTAAATCTCTGACTGTGTCACTGTCATTGATTGGGCATTCCAAATTGTCCCAAGGTGTGATTGTGAGCGGGAATGGTTGTTCGTCTATGTGTGCCCTGTAATTGGCTGGCAACCAGTTCAGGGTGTCCCCCGCCTATTGCCCGAAGACAGCTGGGATAGGCTCCAGCACGCCCGCGACGATTGTGCGGATAAGCGAATTAGAAAAAGGATGGATGGATGGATGTGTCACTGTCACTACCGCTCTCAATCTACTTCTCTACACTGAGCCAATTTTGGCATCCCACAGCATTTGTGCAAGCACTCAATACAATGCACCTATGAATAATACAGTAATATAAGTGCAACTCTTGTTATTGTGCGCCAGTCTGGCAGCAAAATCATTTTCAAGCTGTGATTTTCAGGTCAAATGTGCTCATCTTGTTGCTTTAAACTTTTCACATTTGTGTTGGCTGACATTACTGACGGACAGGCTAATATGATCATGGCAGCGTTCGGCTCTGCCCAAATATTGCTCCGGTACATTAGTAAACCTGCCACTGTACAACCCTTGTGTGTGCGTATGAATGTGCATCTTAAGCAGAAATGAATCATCAGGAGTTGCTGTGTCATTAAGTAGATTCTTTCGAGACACACACACACACACACACACACACACCCACACACACACACACACACACACACATTCAGCGCCAGGCAAAATGATCTGACACATTTGTAGGTTAAATAAAAGGCAAATAAAGTAAAGAAACAAAAAAGTGTTTTTATTTTGGAAAAGTACATATATTTGGGACAAAACAGATACAGATAAAAACAATGATTCGCCACAAGGAAGCTTTTCATTATGTTGTACCATGCCTCATCGGGATAGTAAACAGTTAGTGGGGGAACCACTGAGGGTTTTCCATCCATTCTATATTGATGAGGTCGAGCATGGACTCATCATATGTTGACAAGGGCAACACAAGTCAGCGGCTGGTGGATAATAGTAGAGCCCTGTCCAGAGGTAATGTCATCTTCACTGGGGGAAAAAAAAAATCCATAAATAACTGTGTTTTGTAAACACACTACAAGAATAACTGTGAGTGAAGCATAGCTGTCATCGAAAGGGATGTCACAATCTCTCTTTGAAAGAAGGCAAGATGGAGGGGAAAAAAATAGAATGAGATGATTGTGATTTGTTTGGAAGACGCTTTAAAATCGAATACTCCTCTGCTGTCAAATTTGCATCCTGCTCAGGGAGTCACTGGCATTTGGCTCTCTTGTGGAGCATTACTTTCCAATTGCCTCTTTTTAATTTTTCATTTTCTCTTCTGCCAAAGGCCGTATTAGCATATTTGAATTGAAACCATGTTATCATACCTACAGATGTCATTAACACTGAGGGTGAAATCACTCAGTCATGCCAAACAAAATGGTGTCACTCTGGTCTTAACTGTTCTGTCCTTGTAAAAATGTATGATAATGAATTTAGTGAACATACTGGGAGCGCGTATGACATGCATATACATTATTCTGTTAGTTTCCACTGCTGTATTGGTTTCCATAAACAATACAAGGCAATGTGTGAAGGTAGAGCTTCACTGTCTGTGCTCTTGTCCTCTGAGCCTCTGCTCTGAGGGCTCTGTTTACTTTTAATGCAAGAGAATAACTGCATGTCAGGAGGAGGGAGTAGCCTCTCAAAGAAAATTGAACTACAGATGTTGTTTTGTGGAGATTATACTGTAAAATGGCAGCGGTGAAGCAATTTGATAAAGGTATAATACCAAGTTGGTAGGTAGGTACGTAGGTAAGTCGATCGGTCGGTCGGTCGGTAGATGGATGGATAGATAGATAGATACCGTCATGATCCTGTACTGTTTGCTTTTTGTTTCAGTCTCTAGATGGTGAGTGGGCGTACACTCACAAGTTGCACCTCTCTCAAATCTGGCCTCATTACCTGTCTGCTTTAAAAGCCAGGGCACGCCGACAACCGACTGTCGGATTATTAGCCTTGCTCATGACTCTGTCTCCAAGTGCTTGATTTTCTAAACACGCCTCGACAGTTTTCCTCCTTTGTTCAGAGTATTTTAGTTCTTGTAAGTATTCCTGATGTATTCTCTGTTTGTGTTCACTGTGGATTGGATGCTCTTGTCCTTTGAGCTGACAAGCAATTTAACTTTGTCTTGTTCCTTGCCTTTTGCAAACACTTTTTGTTTGTTCTCCCCATTTCCTGGTTCTTTGCTACCAGCATTATTCGTTGTACTTTGTCGGTCTTGTGTTTTTGTTAATAAATATCCTTTTGATCGAAACTTCTTGTGTCTATGATTTTGGAATCCTCATTCTGTCCAGACATCTGACAGATACATATAGATGAATTGATAAATAGATAAGGGCGGCCCATTGGTTCAGTGGTTAGCGCGTCGATCTCACAGTGCAGAGGTTGTGGCTTCGATCCTGGCTCCGGCCTTCTTGTGTGGAATTTGCATGGGTTTTCTCCGGGTACTCCGGTTTCCTCGCACATTCCAAAAACATGCATAGCAGGCTGATTAACCACTCAAAATTGTCCCTAGGTGTGAGTGTGAGCGCGGAAGGTTGTTCCTCTCTGTGTGCCCTGCGATTGGCTGGCAACCGGTTCAGGGTGTCCCCTGCCTACTGCCTGACGACAGCTGAGATAGGTTCCAGCACCCCCCCGCGACCCTTGTGAGGATAAAGCGGTTTAGAATATAGATGGATGGATGGATGGTAAATAGATAGAGATCAATAGATAAATTGGTAAATAGACATCAATAAATGGATAGCTAGAGCCACTAGATAGAGTTAAAAAGTGTTGTATTGAGCCCGAAATGTGATAAAAAGGCTCAGGAAAACGCACTGTTGTTGCATCTTTAACTGTATTAGATGACAGCAGAGAGGTGCACAATGCTTATTTCCAGTTCCTCGACTCATAAGATGGTGATGTACAGTAGCGGTCCTTGCTGCTCTTGAAGGAGATAGACAGCTTCATTGCCTCATTCAGGCGTCCTTTTCACACTCCTCGGTCACTTTGAGGCTAAATGGACACCTGGGAGGAACCAAATAGCACAATTTCAGAACTGAACAAAGGCTCTGTCTGTGTAATCAAGAGTTTGTAACTGCACTATTATACACATGCGCTCGCACGCACACATACACTCAGAACACATAAACAGGAAAGTGAATTTATTTAGACATGCACACCATCATTTTACAGCAAAATGGAAATGCAGCGAAAATGATAACAGTAAAGCCATGACAATGGGTTTCATTTAGCAGCAGGCTATGCCTGTTATTTGTTGATAAGAATATTAAGATCAGATTTAAAACAAATTCCAGCATTTTTACCTGGGAAAGCACTTGCTGACTAATCGTAATTGGCACAGAATAAGCTTCCTTGTGGTAATCATCAATGTTTGTTTGTTGAATACTGTTTTACGCAGTTTTGAATGCCAGCATTGTTGTGTGAAAAAGTATTTCTTGTTGCCTTTTATAATTCCATAATTTTACCTTGTAATTTCACGTTTTTTCTGTTGGGACAAATTGGTAGACTCTTGAAATGCAAATGGGTCACAGATAAAAGAATTGTTCTCCTTTGGAATATACTGAAAAACACTGTAAATCATTGTAGTTCAAAAGTGAACAGGATGCAAATTGGAAGAAAATGAAGGCCATTTATACACTAAAAAGAAAAATATACTGAACTGAACTGAACCCTAATGGCTTGTGTCCTTTTTTGTTCTCCCCCCCATGGTGTGAATGTGTTGGGTGTGGTGTGTAGGTGACATGGTGTCACGAGCTATGCACTACCTCCAGCCACTGTACACCAAGAACCACAACAACGGGACACCCATCCATCAGAAGAGCGCAGTGATGCACTGGGCCCCCGAGGCCATCTACACATTGTGTTACTTCATGCACTGCCCCCAGATGGAGTGGGAGAACCCCAACATGGAGCCATCAAAAGTTTCCTTACAAACTGAGAGGTAAGATGCAAAACAGCAAAGTTGCGCAAATGAACAATCGAAACAAACTTGTTGTCAAGTTAGATCGGGACTATTCACGATGTAGGATAGTTTCTATGTTTTGGCGGGTGGGGTTTATTTTTTTTTGCATCACTTTTTTCTTTGTTCATTCACGAAGGTGGGTTAATGTTACAGTACACCTCAGTTTATCTTGGGGCATACATTTCAGATCCATCCATAATAATGAACATATAACATAGAAAGACCATAAAAGATTTTTTTATGTAATTTTGTCCCTCCCTAACTTATTAAAAGACATTCGTTCATCATTCGCTCACACAGTTCAAAGCATGCTGCTTCAAGCTGTTTATTTGTCATGCCTAGTTTTCTACAAAAGTAGCACACAAAAGAGAATCAAAAATTGTATCCCGGTATTTAAATACATACATTTTCAACCAACCCATCTAATTTGGTCGAACAAAAGGCCACTACTTAAATGCTAACATATGATGGAAAATGCAATAGACAGGCTAATTGAGTACCATATTTTCACGGCCAAAATACGCACTTAAAAGTCTTACATTTTCTCCAAAATGGATAGCACGTCTAATAATGCGGGTGGCCATGTGCACAAAGTTCCAAAATCTGTGAATGTTGTTGTGTGTCTTCGATGAGGGCTCCGCTTGACTGACTGATGCTGTGACCGACTGTTCTCTCAACCAGTCCCCACATTACTACATACCCACTTGGACTATGGCAAGTGATGTGGGACAAGCATACTTTGCATTTTGAACTACAACAAAAAGATTGCCGACAAACATAGCCAGCCCAACCACATCACCAACCTGGACGAAGTGACGTTCACTTTTGATATCCCGGTGCACAATACGCACAACGGGGCACGTGAAGTCGGCTTTTACTGTTGTGCATGGTTGCCATGCTAATGGACAGAAACGGCCAAAGTGAAGTTGCGAGCGGCGAGTGCAACTTTACTAAGACTGAGAGGCACCGCCGGGCGAGTTACGCCGCAAATTGTAATTGGATTGTGGATCCTTGTGCTAATGTGTCTCCTTGTGCTGTTGTTCGAGCTTTCGTAAAAGCCGACATCATTTCTGAGGAGCTGCACGGCAACGAGATTTACTCTGACAATCACGCGAGGGAACCTGGCATGTTTGATTGTGAACTTGCCCAGCTGTTCATTTCGGATGCAGAAGATTAGGACCTTGATGGATTTGAGGATGAGGATTGATCAAAAAATAACGTTAAATACTTCAAGCTCCCGCTGCCTTTTTAAAAACACTAGAGTACATGCATGCTTCAGTTTTTTTTTTTTTTTTAAGATAGCGTACGTGTTACCATTCCTGCATCCAATAATAGAATGCGTCTTGCATATGTGTTAAATATAGAAATAGCACACGTAACTGACACTATGCCTTTTAATACAGTGTGTCGTAAGGTCGTGAAAACACTGTAATGTTAAAGTCATTTTAAGAACTTGTAGAATGAAAAATCTAAATTCAGGTCCAACCAAAAAATCGTTTAAAAAACTGTGAAGCAGCAGGGGTGCGATCATTCCTCCTTCAATTGTTGATCGGTTCTCGGCTCCATAATCTTGATCGTGTGAAGCCTATTAAATATTCACTTTGTTCTTCCTCCCTGTGTAGTGGCACACATGACGATTTGTGTGAAACTGTACATTCCCCAATAAGATGCAACTAGTGTGTTTTGGACTTCAATGACTTGTGTAAACACAGTCTGGTTGATCCACATGTCACGTTGTACAACAAAACGCTTCGGGAGCCTGCTGTTTGGTCCAAGTTCTTGTTATTTTAGTAAATGTTTAACCAAGTTTAACTCTGTGGGTTCTGCTGTGAAATTCAGTTCACTTCAGTTTAGTCTTATTAAGATACAGTATTACAGTGAAACTCCTCTACAACGAAATCATGTTTGCAGCAAGAAATTTTTCACAACAGGGGGTTTTTCACTGTAGCAAATTTGATCTCAGATGTAAACACACACACACATACATACAAACGTATGTGTACTCTTTATTTTTATTCAAATAGTGCATAAGTATGAGCAGACACTTATTTGACACTTCATATAGTCAGTGAAGAAAGGAAAAAAAGGGAAAGAAATTGGGAATTTACGATCAGTATTCACTTTCACTTACATCAATTTCTTGGATAATGTCTTTTATTTTGCTTCCTCCGTCTTTCATTTTGATCACTTTTAACCTCTCTTCCAGCATCAGAGCTCTTCTTGTCTTAGCTGCTTGACATCCAAAGGCCCGTTTTGTAGCCATTTTAGCAATGCAACGTTCTTCGCTGCATGTGAAACTAACAATAACAAATACTTCCTGGACTACTGCGCATGTGTAAAACAGTGTGGTGGTTGCTGTTGCCATTTCCGAACGAAGCAGTAGAGGTCGCTGTTGGATTAGACTTCGTTGTAGTGAATCTCGTCGCGAGGCAAGAGCAGAGAAAAAGATTTCGTATAACGCAACAGTGTTTTTTTTTCGTTGTATGGGGGCAGGAAAGTGGGAATGGTGTTAATGCACGAAGATTTTTTCACACTAGGGGGTATTTTCGCCTATGTCGGTTTCATTGTAGAGGAGTTTCACTGTACAATAACAATCACATAGGGAGCATGCACTTTATCAAGGAAAATAAAAACAAACCGAAACAGAACAAAGACTCCATATCCCGATTATTAAACAGATGGTCAGAAGCACGGTTGCTGTTATGGCAAAATCTTCCCAGAGAAGTAAATTGTCTCATTAAATCTTCATTTTTATTTGTCACATATTCAGATTAAAAAAAAAAAAAATCTAGCTATTGCAGACACGTTTTTAATGAACCACCCCCATAGGGGCTGATATTTATTGATTTGTCTGTCCAATTCCTGCTGCTTCCCATCTTGTGTCTAGTAAACAAAATGTATCCTTGATGATCACCAGCATCATATTTCAACAGCAGACAACTGCTGGGGGACTTTTCTCGGTGTTACAATTTACACCCCTGCAGAAAGTATGCACCCCTCTCACCTCAGCATACAGTGTGTACAATCCACAGGTAATACTCCTTTATCACTCCACGTTGCTAATGCAACTCTGCCGACTGAGATTTTATTTACGTCTTCCTCCTCAACCTCCTCCCGCACTGTCCAACCAGATTCCCAAGCACTCATAGAATAGCTATTAAAAGTAACTTTAAAAAAAACAGAATAAGTCCTTTAAATGACCTGAAGAGTTGCATGAAGGAGTCATTGTAGCAGGCAGATGCAGTCAGTATTGATTGATGCTGCAGTAGCAGCATCCTCAGTATGTCAGAATGATGTAAGGCTCTGGCAGTGATTTCATGTTATTTCCCTTGCTTGCATGTTTCTGAACAAGTCATTTACCTCTAAATAATAATTGTCTCGGGGGATAAGGAGGGGCACAAGACAGTCTTCGTAAATGGTTGAAGGTCAAATGTATATTGTTATCTTTTGGCATTTAGACAGTATCTTGATCTGTTCATAGTCCCTGCAATGGCGCGGAAAACTACGTCAGCTGGCAGCATTGTGCATGGTGTGATGCAAGGATGGCGTTGAGTGTGAGCAGGCCGTCACTGTGGGCAACGGGCATTTTTGCTTTCAGCTGATGCGGGTCTTTCGGATATCCAATTAGAATCTTCATTCACGACATTTGTTTAAAAAAACAAACACACACACACACAAACACACACACACACACACACACAATGTCACTTGTGGTTTTCTCATATTAAACAGATTTGCAGTGCCTCTCTTTATTTAGTAAGGCTGTGCTCGAACATGACGTGGAGCGGTGACATGATGTAAAAGGAAAGAACGGTGGGGTGGAAATAGGCATTTATGATATAATGGGTGTAATGAAAGGTATAAGGTTAAATGAACTGAATTCCATGACAACTGGCTTGATAAACGGCTTCATAATTGGCATGAATATAGGCAATTCTAAAAATTCAAACACCAGAGTTCACTATCCTTGATTTAGGCCGAGATTAGGGTTAACCGCTTGGGAGAGCCCTACTTGATTTAGACCTTTTCAAAATAAGTGATATCTGGAGAGCAGGGGTGTTAAACTCGTTTTGGTCTGGGGGCCAAATACAGCCTAATCTGATCTCAAGTGGGCCGGGCCAATACACTACACTCACAATAAGACCAATTCTCTTTGTATTAGTGCAAAGAACTCAATTCTTAGCATATTTATATGAAATGAATTTTCATTGACTAAATAAATTATGAACAACCTAAGAGCTAAAAATAGTATGTGCAATCTCACCAACACCTTTACTCAGTTTAACATTTATTCAACTGTGTTAGCATGAAAAGTGATCACGGTGATTTTAACAATGTTGCGAAACATTTAGTCACAGCTCTGTGGAACTTAAAAACACTGATCTTTCAACATCTGGGAAGCAATTTGAACAAATGAATGGCTTTCACAGCATTCCAAGCATTCTGCATTGTTTTAATGAGGCTAGCAAAATGTAAATGGCTCTGCTTGGATATATGAAAGGTCAATGATACCTCTGAACTCAGAGAGGCACTTACAAGTGATTAAATAACAACCATTGACAGGTTTGTACCACTTGCACATCAAGCTCTCTACATGTATCATTTACCCTCTTAATATTCCAGTTTTAAACCTTAAGGGAGCGCACCAAGTTTCTTCAAAAGGTTAATATCACCATATGAGAGAGCCTGAAGATAGCACACAACTTGCTTATCAATCAGTGCACATAACATATACCTATATCAAATAATATCTGTTGGTGCTATAACATTCACTATAATACTTATTTTCCGATTTGAGATGAAACATTCAATAACCAAATAATCACATGTACCCTCTGATGGCTGCATTGAACACATGCCTCATGAACATAAATTCTGTTTTTAGAATGCAAAATGAATGTAATGTAATTGGGCTTAGCTGGAGGGACTTTCCATGTTTGTAACATATTTTGGTGACAGCTCATTTACTTGCCTAAGTGGAAGAAGTGCATATTGGTATGCATAACATGCTGTTGGTACATCAGTGAAGGTCGAAATGCAGAGAACCATGCTTGCGTATTTTCCGTGATATCGCTGCAGTAAAATCCGAGGATGTGTCTACCTGGAGGATCAATGGAGCGATTTATGCCATTCATATGTACAGTATGCATATTTTCAACTGCGTGAATAAGATCTCTTCCATGTGTCAGTGTGTGTGTTGCATTATTGAATTCAGGGATACTCCTCTTAAACAGTGGAAACACTGGGGTCAGGATCAACCATATGGTTGTCATTTCCTGCATCTGTCTCAGCAGGACTGCTAACAAGTACACCCTTACCACCTTACAACTCAGTATGCTGGCATGTGTGAAAGATGCACTCCATCTGCTTGTTTGGCTTCGATGACAGTGTGTTCTTGTGGTTGTGTAATCCAAGCACATTTCAAGAATGTACCACAACAACATATTATACTGTGGTAATTCAAGGACTCTTAATGCATTATATACTGTATTGGCAACATTTACTATTCTGCGATTGGCTGGCAACCGGTTCAGGGTGTCCCCCGCCGACTGACTGAAGACAGCTGGGATAGGCTCCAGCAACCCCCGTGACTCTTGTGAGGATAAAGCGGATCGGAAAATGGATGGATGCTTTCGAAATCAGAGGCCAGCAAAAATCTGCTGCTCAAATCTTATTACATTTATCTTGAAATAGGGATTGGTCACAAATAATGCTTGCAATGTCTCTGTATTTTTAAAAGTGAAGGCAATGTGCAATAGTGGTATTGTAGCAGGAAACATTAAGATGAAACAAATAATTTGCTTTTATAAGCTACATAAAATGATGTGGCATGGCAAATTTTGAATTTGACACCTGTGGACTAAAGAAATTGCCTACCATTGCCGGTTGTAGCCTGCTAAACTCTTCAAAGTCAACTGGGAAAGGCCTCGAGCTCAGCTCTAATGAGGACAAACGGTATAGAAAAGGGATGGATAGATGAATTCCAAGTTGAGTGAATCACATTTTTTTTCTGCTTTGACTTTGTATGAAAATGCCAAATCATGAACATTTATGAAAGATCTTTTTAGCTGCAGAGTGGATAAAAACGACGATGTGTCAGCATGAGCTATACCCTATAATGTTCATGCAATTTTTTCACACCAGCACATCTCTATAGCATGCAGTTTTCTTTTTCTTTAATTCCGTTTACTTGGCAGGGGTCATCCTTTACTAAAGTACTATCTCGCTGGGCAATTGAGCTAAGATAACATATGCAAATTGCATCTGAGGTGGATTAAAAAAAAAAAAAAATTGATAAACGTCTATTGCTGATGCCACATGTGTTTCGATCTCCCCCCACAGGCCGTTCATGGTGCTACCGCCTCTGATGGAGTGGGTGCGTGTGGCTGTTGTTCACACTGAGCACAGACGGAGCTTCTCTGTGGACAGCGATGATGTTCGGCAGGCTGCCAGGCTGCTGCTGCCTGGAGTGGACTGCGAGCCCCGCCAGCTCCGGTACAGCTGCAGTCCTTTAGGCTTCACAATGCACACACATTCATGCATGCATGCACTCACACACACATGCACACACCTTCCAAAACTCAACTCATGTCAGCAAGGAATTATTTTTTTGCTTGTATAGTTTTGTAAAAAATTTAAACTTTGTGTTTTGGGTGATCAGTTGCACGTTGTGCACATTAAAACATCCACCTAACTCACTTGGTGTGCTTTGGCCTTCAGAACGGATGACTGCTTCAGCGCCTCAAGGAAACTGGATGCTGCCTCAACCGAGGCAAAGCTCCTGCAGAACTTGGGCTTCCATATGCTCAGCTGTGGACGCACAGACTTGGTGAAGCAGGCTGTCAACCTGCTGGGGCCGGATGGTATCAACAGCATGAGTGAGCAGGTTAGAGACAGGCAGCTCACTTCAATCATTTATGTTCAAGCACATTTACACTTGCTGAATGTGCACAGAAAGTTGTCACGCTGCCTGTGGAACAAAAGTAAATGGCGGCTGCTTCATCTTGATTATTATGCAGACATGCAAAATATGATATACAGTAGATAAAATAAGTCTACACACCTCTGATGAAATGCTACCATCTCATATGATAAAATGAGACAAGAAAATAAAAATTCCCACCCTGAATATGACCTATAAGATGTACAACTCCTGAAATTCTTTCAGGAAGGGAACTAAAAAAAACAAAAACGAAATAATGTGATTGCACTATTGTGCACATTCTCTTATAACTGGGATGTGGCTGGAGTCAGAATTCAGTAATCACATTCAAATGGAAGTGAGCACACACCTGCCACCATTAAAAAGCCCTCTTAATAACCCCAAATAGAGTTCATCGATTCTAGCAGGCTTTTCATGACGTTTATTTTTTGCTTTCTAGCCGAAGCCAGAAAGTTTTATACAAACGCTGACTGCTATTTCAAACTGTTCATAATTTCCTCCACCTTGTCGTAAGTCCCTAGTTCCTCTTGAAAACAAATGCTGCCACCCCCTGTTGGTTACCCCTGCACCAAACATATCTTCAGGAATTATGGCCAAAAAGTTTGACCTTGGTTTTCATTGGAATGCGTGACAAAAGCTTGTGAGAAGATTTGTTATGGTCCAATCTTCTCAGGGAGACCATGAGTATATAGAAGCCTAAGATGAAAATTAGTCTAATACTATACACACACCCCGGGTCTAAGGCCACAACATTTCTGTGTCTATATGGCTTATAGTTTATGGTGGGTCCACCGCTGTGCAACTAATAACATTCTAAAGAAATCTAATCAAAGAACTCTTTCAGGGTCAAAATGTAGAAAGAAAAATCTCCGTATGATGAATTGCTACACCACTGCAGTTTATTAGAGCACAGTCAAGTGCCAGGGTTGAATCTTGGAAAAAAGAATGAACCTTGGTCCAGAGGCAAAGTACAGAGGATGTGAAGTGATTTTCTTTTTCCCTTAAAACTTTCAGACACCGTAGATAAGCTGGTAACTACCAGAATTTGGGTGCGATGTATATGGAAATTGATCAGGATTTTTTAAACGATGTATGTAAGTCAGTGTTTTTAATGCAACAGACATCTTGGTTGCATGACTGGCGACAGATCCAGGGTGCAGTAAATCAGTTGGCTGAGTGTCCAGCTCCCCATGACATTGAACAGGATAAGCGGTGCTCAGGATTGATGGATGATGTTTGCAATATTTGATTCAGATCCATCTATTCAAAGTTTATCCTGTCCAAGGTTATGGCTGAGCTTGAGCACATTCCAGCCAACTTTGGGCAGGGTTCACCCTAGACTGGTTGCATATAGACAAGCCAACATTTACACTCGCATTCAACCCTATATGGACGATTGAGAGTCTTCAATTAACCTTATAGAGGAGGAAAGTGGAGGACCACACATCCACGACATCAACAAATTAATTCCATACAGCAAAGCCCAAGCTAGTTTCCCTCATTGTTTGGCAGACATGCTCGCTCCATTCTCTACAATGCCGTCCAAATCTTTACAAAAGCACAAATTAATTTATCCGGGGTTGCTCCCACTCTACCCGCCCCTCAGAAATGTTATCAACACAAGGCTACATTTCTGGCACTTTAAAATGACCATTCTGACTTGTGCAGCCAAAGGAAAGTGTGCGTGTGATGTTATGTTGAAAGGACAGCGTTACCTTCAAATATGACACAGCTGTGCGCTTGTGTTCGGTGCTTGTGCTCATGCAGGGGATGACCCCACTCATGTATGCTTGTGTCCGTGGAGACGAGGCCATGGTGCAGATGCTGCTGGATGCTGGAGCTAATATTAACAGTGAGGTTAGTGTTTTGGCTGTAATACATCAAAGGTATTTCAAGGTCAACAGCAAAAAAAAAATGTGAGCCAGCAATACTGAATTATGTATCGTAGTGAGAATAGCATGTTTCAGGGTACCAAGACATGAAAGGTGTTGTTGTGTAAGAACCCTCAATCTCAGTGTATACAGGTATGGTGCAGCAAGGAGAGAAAAACAGACTTAGTGATCCTCATCTCTCTCACATTCCTCTCCATGCATTGTACTGTTTATTGTTTAAGCATTCATGATCATCAGGGAATGATTGTCCTGACCGGACACACCATTAGGTAACGTAATTCCAGTGCAAGAGTTGCGAAAATATATTGCCTAAAATGGTGGGATCCTACTTAAAATGTTCTGTTTTAATGGACACAGACAGAGAGGTAATAATTTCACAACGTCTTTATCATTGTGCTTGTGTTCTAACGCTGCACTCTACCGCATAAGCTGAGACGTGTTTTTTTGGTTCACTCATGTAGTTAAATATTGGAATCAAGCTTATAAATAATTTGTGTTGGATATACAGTGGTACCTCTACTTACCAACGTCTCTTCATACGAGATTTTCAAGTTACGAAACACCTCAACAAGAAATTATTGCCTCTAGTTCCGAAAGAAATTTCAAGATACGAAAGGTAAAAATACAGTATGGGTTGCTTCGCAGTTTCCTGAACGCAACATACTTATAGCTGATCTGCCATTGGCTATTCCCGATCATCATCCTGGCATCCCATTGGCTAGGATGGACCTCTACCGGTATGTGTCTATGCGTGTAGATCAATAGATGTGTGTTTATGCAGCATCCTCGTCATTCGCCTCTCGCACCATGAGGTGTTCCGATAGTTTTACATAAATGTGAATCCCCAGAACAAGTGTTCACCAGTCCGGCGATCGCTCACTCTGCTGATGTTTGCCTTGGGCATTTTCGAAGGATTGTTAAAAGCCGACAAAAGCAAACGTCCTTTGCTCAGTTCTTTACAAAACGCCAGGCAAAAAACACTCCTGAGAGAGAACATGAACTAAAGAGGGCAGAAAACGATGAGGACGCAGTTAAAAGTTAAATGACCCTCATTTTTATTCTTTATTCTTTATTTTTTACATTGTGCAATAATCTAATTTGTAGCATTTATTTGTTACATATTTTGATGCATTTTTATGCTTTAGAAAACATTCATGTCTGAATTTTGGGGGCTTGGAACGGATTAGGGCATTTACATGGAAAACGCGTCTCTACTCACAAAATTTCCTTGTTAAGAAATTTCTTCCGGAACCAATTAATTTCATAAGTAGAGGTGCTACTGTAATACACTTTATGTTGTGTCGTGCACTTGTGCATTACTGCTAACTAAAATCACCATAATAGTGATTGTATTTCCTAATACATCATTTTAAAAAATAATGAGCATTATTTACTTTCTGTCACAACGTTCTTTACTGTTTTTTTTTTTCCTCTCATGTCACTGTCAAAAATTTCTTTTGAATACGTGACCCAAAATGGGACCTCTACATTGCTTTAAAACAAACAAGGGACAATCGGAGGAGTTTTTCAAACCTTGAGTTACAGCCCATGTTGTTAACCCCACATTGGGCTCTTTTGAATGTGCAGGTAAACCAACTTAAATGCATATTGAATAATTCACTTCAGTAACAAAGCCTTCACTTTCTTTTGGTTATTGTTTGATTGTGCTGATTGCGGGTGAGACAGTGATGTCCTTTAGATTAGGGAAGGTCTCACAGAATCCATAGAAGATGTCTGAGACAACATCAAGTTGATCGTGTCCATTATCACCTCAGCAACATGCATCATCAACCATCGCGCCAGCTTTGATTTGCAGTTCACTGACACTCGGCCAAAGCACAAAGACACGCTAAGTGCAATTTATGCATCACTTAGCCGTTAATTGATCCGCTAATTATGTTAAATTCTTTTTATCTCATCACACATTCTCAACTGTGGAAAATGTGTGCTCATTGGCATCAAGAACTTCACTTTGATTTGTTACATTCTCCCCACACCCGAGAGATAACCCTGAGGTAGGTCGAAGCCCTGTTGGAGAAACCGCAGTGGAGGGACGAGGGATCAGAGAAAATCCATTAGGATGAGGCCTAACTAGACAGATCAATTTATTGTGTTCATTAGAAGGTCAACATGTTGACAGGTTGTCCTCTGCCGCCCCAGGCCTCTTAGATGATTACTCCAGGTGCTCCCGAAGCGCTTTTTGTCCTCCCTGCAATAGCTTGTCTTGTGCTTGCTTGGCCATGTCGTCGTTTTTAATGGCTTCATGTCTCTCTCCCTCATCTCCCTTTCATGTCCCCCATCCCCTCCTTCAACTACCCCACTCCCGATGTCCATTCCCCAGGTGCCAAACTCAGTGCACAGGCACCACTCAGTCTTTCCCGAAACGCGCCAGGCGACGCCCCTCACTTTTGCTGTGTCACATGGACATGTGCCTGTGGTGCAGGTAGTGATGTCCTCTTTCATCTGTTGACTCTCTCTGTGCTTCAACTCATGGTTGGTCGTCATTTTCACTTCAATCAACGGTCATCTTCTGTCTTTTTATTTCTATTTGGACATGATCAAAAAGGGGTTGTCCATTTGGCTTTTCCAGCAAATGGAACAGGCTCCATTAGGTAAATGGAAAGGTGAACCATGGGCAGTGGACTAATTGTAATCGAACACATTTGACTAATTCAGTCTGCCCTCTCAATGATGTGCACACTGGGATTATGTAATTTACTTTTAACAGAAAATGCTTTAAACCGGCATTTTGATCTCCCTTTGAATAAATACCATTCAGAATTAAAAAGAGATGTACTACTGGGTACATGAAATAATTTCCCAAGCTTTTCACTGTAAAATGTTTCTTGTTACTCGTGTTTCATGATAGCTGCGCATGGTGAGATGGGTGAATGCGTAAGATTCTTTTGAAGTAGAAAAAAGAAAAATGTATGTGTATGCGTAGTTAAATGATGCCTTATGTAGAGTTTTGAGGTTTGTTTCATGTAAAAAAAAAAAAAAAAAACCTTTTTAACAAGTGTATTCTCTTTTTGCAAGCGGGATGCATGATACAACCTCATATTTATTGTGTCTAACTCAGGGGAACTTTGAGAAGTTTTCGCATTTTTTCCCCGCTGTGGACAAGAGCAGTTATTAATTATAAAATAATCCTTGGATGCTCAGTGCATCTCTTGGCTCCGGCTCACAGTCTGCCTGTTTTGTATTTGGCTAAAGATAGTGAGTGGCAGCTGGCTTTAGTTCCATTCTTAATGAAACAAGAGCACAATTAATTCCACGTCAGCCTGTATTCTAAATTAGTAATCAAACATTCATTAACTGCATCTTACGTGTTAGAGAAGCTCAAAGTCACCCAGCTAAATAATTTTCTCTCTCTTCCCATCATGTCCTCCTCGGTCACCCCACCTGAACTCTGCAGCTGCTTCTGGATGCCAAAGCCAACGTGGAAGGCTCCCTGCAGGACGGGATGGAGAACTACACTGAGACCCCGCTGCAGCTGGCTGCTGCTGCAGGTACACGCAAGCACCGTGGCTCCTCTTCCCCACTTCCATCCAGCTGCTCCTCCCAATCCATTTCTAACAGCTTCACCTGAATGTCAGCCTCATCTTTGGCTGACTCGTGACTTAAAGGCGAATTTATCCTCAGCGCTGGCAGAGACTCTATAATCGGGTCCTTTCTCAGTTCTGTGGAGCGCGTCTGCATATGTGCTTTTCATGCTCAGGCAACTTTGAGCTGGTGAGCCTGCTGTTGGAGCGGGGGGCCGACCCCATGTTGGGAACCATGTCCCGCAATGGCATCTCTACTGCGCCGCAGGGAGATATGAACTCCTACAGCCTGGCAGCAGCGCACGGACACAGGTGATGCACCTTTATGGTAAAACCTAACTTAAATGTTCAACCGCCATTGCACACCTACGGATGAGTCAGCTGCACACACCCTCACTCATTGTCGCGCCTTCTCGGTATGCACTATAAATGACATACCATACACTCCACAAACTCATCTACTCAGCAGTTTAAAGGACCATGAAATTAACACATGGAAGGTGTTGTTTTTGTTGGTCATTACACGAATTAACATTCTGTGACAAAAGTGCTGATGTTTTAGCAGATTTTGTTGTTCTCACAACTGTGAGACAATCACATCAGATTTAAATGTGAAGGATAGCTTTGTTGACTTTTTCTTATTATTGCAAATCACTCTATCGTTATTGTATGAACTGATCTCAAAATCATCACTATGGCCTAAACAAGGCATGTTTTTATTGGTGTTTTGCTTTTATAGTCAAACGGTGCAGCATAACAGAAGATGTGCATTCATTGAAAAGTAACGTCAGTAAAAGTATTAAACTTTGTTTGTTTTTGCTTGTTTCTTCCAGAAATGTCTTTCGGAAGCTGCTGTCACACACACAGAAAGGTAAAGGAGATGTCTTATCCCTAGAAGAGATTCTGGCAGAAGGGTCAGCGCTGGAGGGAAGAAGTTCATCTGAGACAGACCTAATGCGAACAGGGAAGGCCAAACTGAAAGCCCTGAAAGAAGCCATGTACCACAGTTCAGAACATGGACATGTAGACATCACCATAGACATACGGAGCCTTGGTTAGTTGACTTATTCATAACAAAACCTCAGTTACTGTTTTTTTCCTCCCCTCAATATCTGACGTCTTGTTGTTTTTCCTTGCATTGTTCCATCCACACCTCGTGGCCAGGGGTGCCATGGACTTTGCACACATGGCTGGAATCTTTGCGCACATGTTTCTCCCAGCACCGCCGGCCACTGATCCAGGGCCTTCTCAAAGAATTTATCTGCATCGAGGAAGATGAGTACACTGAGGAGCTCATCACACACGGCCTGCCGCTCATGTTCCAGATCCTCAGAGCCAGCAAGGTACACGCCGTCACATCATGGAGCAACCACTCCATAGCCATTGTCAAATGTGTAAAATGACAGTGGGTTCCACAGGTCCCAAATGGTTTGGCATTTGAACATATACAATCATGGTCCAAAATGACAGCCAGAATCCGAAACCTGAAAAAAGTTGGGCAAATGGAGACATCATACGCTTCCCAATGTGTTTTGCCTGCTTTTTTTTTTTTTTTTTTTTTTTTTTTTAAGCATACACTTTATTAATTCTCTTAACACTCAAATGCAGACACGTATCTGTCCGACCACGTGCAGATCTTCTTCCTTCTCGTTCGGCTCGAGAGACGTTCAAAGACCGCCTCCAAAAAATCCCTTCCCAATTGTTTTTTCCTTTTTTTTTTTTTTTTTTTTTTTTTTTTTTAAGCATACACAACCTCACAAGGAGTAACTGATGATACACCAAAGATCCAAATGTCAAATGTAGAAATTAAACTGAAACTTCTTACTGGTAGCACCACTCATCAAAATGCTGGTTTATTCCGTGTTTTGTTGTTTTTCAGATTTTCTTTTAACAACACTTTTGTAAATTATCTTTGCTCTGATGCAGCTATTAACCGTACTGTACTGTTATTCCTTCTCTCATACTCATCACATGACCGGTACTGTTTGATAATGTTGAGATCTGGCAACTTTTGGATTGGACGCTTGCCGGTTGACATTTCTAATGGGGAAGGTTAATTTGAACAAATTGACAACCGAAAGGCCTCCTGGAACTGCAAAATATTTGATATGAAAGGACTCAGTTATACTGTAATTTGACTCAGTGTACAGAATGGACAGGCCTATTTATTCCTAGTGGATGTTACTAGCTGTTTGCTGGTGTCATGCCACATTAAGCGCAAACAGCCTTACTGCACACAGGGGGCTTGTCGTGAATTGCAGTGTTCCTCTTTTCCCCTTCTGCTTTGGCAACTCAAACACACACAGGAGAGTTGGGGAACAAAACTGTAATAGAGCCCATGTCTTTCCCGTTTTTCACTTTTCACAGTGTTGCACTTTTCACTCATCCCTTTGGAAGTTGAGGTGTAAAACATATCTGATATATGTCCAAAACCCATTCAGATGTGTGAAATGAAATCCACGTTTGCTCTGTTGTGTGTACTTTGTGTTTGGTCAGAATGAAGTGATCAGCCAACAGCTGTCAGCCATCTTTACCCAGTGCTATGGACCCTACCCCATCCCCAAACTTGCAGAGATAAAACGCAAGCAATCATCACGCCTCGGTGAGAGCATGTCACTGTGTTTATAAGCACTTTCTTTTTCTGCTGAATCCTGTTGTACTTGTAATGAAAAAAAAAATGGCTGTACAATTGCAAATCTCCGAGGAATTGTTGGGTCAACTCTTGACTGAATGCTGAATGAATGGAAAGAGTACCCAGCGCCATCTCGTGGCCAAAAATAGGGAGTCAAAGATCATTTACGGGTACTTGTAAATTAATAGTGCTTTTTGATATTCGTGACGTACGTTTATTGCTTGTTTTGTTTCATTTATTTAAACACAAAATTAACATTCGTGTCTTTTAGATCCTCACTTCCTGAACAATAAAGAGATGTCCGATGTGACATTTTTGGTGGAGGGGAAGCCGTTTTATGCCCACAAAGTCCTGCTCTTCACAGCCTCCAATAGGTAACTTTCAACAAGAAATATTTTGTTCATGGTTATCATGACATTCATTTTAGATGATATTCAATGACTTTTCATATCAATGTCTTGTTGTGAAGGTTCAAAACTCTGCTTGCAAATCGGCCTTGTGGTGAAAACACTTGCATTGAAATAAGCCATGTGAAATACCACATTTTTCAGGTAATTACTGTTTTCCAAACCCCATGCTCATGTCCTTTCTTTGTGTACACAATGTACGTATGCGTGCGTGGCAAAAAGCTTAGCTTTTCTTCCCTCTCAGCTTGTGATGCAGTATCTCTACTGTGGAGGAGCAGATGCTCTGCATATTAGGAACCCTGATGTTATGGAGGTTAGTTTTTTTTTTTGTTTTTTTTTATCATCTTGGGGAAAAAATGCAATGGAAGGAAAATGAATGGAAAGGAAAAATGTCTGTATGTCTGTATGTATGTACACAGCGTTAGATTTAGGCCTCTTTGTTACAAATAATTCGATGCGTGAGTTGAGCTACACTTTTATATCGCTGTGACCTTTCTACTTATTATGGTCTTTCCTATCTATTTGCACTATTGCCCACTTACCAGTTGAAACCAGTTAAAATCATGGAGTCGCACAAAGGAAAATTCCAACTCATTGATAGGTATGCCGTGCTCCCAATTGGGGGCGTGGCACACACAGTGTAACGACAGGAATAATTTCAGACAGGGAGACCTTGTTCTGCACTTGTGCGGTAGATAGGCTCCACGGGGCCGTGTACTAACTCTTCTTGCTGTCCATTATATTGTCTAACTGGGAAATAAAGTGTTCTGGTAGTTGTGAGGATAGTGTACATTGAAGATAAAATAACTGGCAGAGGCTCACTCTGAACTTTTCAACCGTATACCGATATATATGGTTGAAAAGTCTACACTTCAATCATATTGATTTCAAAACCTAAAAACTCTGCCCAATTACTTCATGACCTAAGCCTGACACTTTTTATTTGCAGCTTTTGTCTGCATCGAAATTCTTCCAGTTGGAAGCGCTGCAGAGGCATTGTGAGATTATCTGCACGAAGAACATAAACACAGATACTTGCGTGGAGATCTACAACCACACGAAGGTACAAACAACACAAAGGTTTTTTTTTCACATTGAGAATATGATGACCTTTTAATGCGATTTCAACCCTTTATTTACCTTTTCCCCAGTTTCTAGATGCACCAGACCTAGCATCCTACATCGAGGGCTACTTCCTAAAGAACATGGTCATGTTAATAGAGCTGGAGCCATTTAAACAGCTGCTGTATGATGCACCTCCAGATAGTCCCAGCTACAACATCCTTCAGAACTTGGAGAAAACGTTGGCTGTTCGCATCCAGTCCATTCACTTGTCCTCATCCAAGGGGTCCATCGTTTGAACTCCTAAACTTATAAAAACCATCGCAGGCTTGGAACACAAGTGATATCGCAATAAAAAAAATATATATATATATGTATATATATATATAAATATATTTATGCTCCAGCACCCCCCGCGACCCTTGTGAGAGTAAAGCGGATTGGAAAATGGATGGATGGATATAAATAAATGCCTGGGCTGCCATGTTGCCATGTTATAGCCCGTTGTGGTGGAGGCTGTCTCTCCATGACAGTCATACAATAGCTTTTCCCACTCATCTCATCACGATGCAGTGTTTTGTTCCATGATGAGTTATGGACACTGACAGGAAGGATGTGGCGTCATCTCTTGAAACATTTACGAGGCTTTTTGTAAACAAATATACAGTACCACTGATGATCCTTCCCATGCTGCAAGGGCACGTTGCTGGTGTCTTCTGTTGTGATTACTTGCTCACTCGTCTGTGGTAAAGAATACATTTGTATTGTCAGTCCTGATGATTACTCTTTAAGGCCAAAAAAACGGACCTGTAACATAAAATAGAGTGGCATCCTTCATGTTTTATGTGGAAATCAGAACTTGAATTTCCTTTACTGTGTAAATATTGTTGATAAAAGCAGATTGATCAGTAATGTAAGTCACTGTATATATCCAATTTCTCATGTGTCTCACTGTTGAAAAATGCTGTGAAAGAAAAGCTATCTATCTATGTTTAAATGTTGCATGTCAAAGGGAACGTGTTGGAGGACGAAGGTTGATGCTTCATCGAAGAGTGGATGTTGAGTGAGAATTGATTTGTCATCAGCACGGGTCACTAAATGTCGAAAACTCTAACGCTGTTGTCATTCTTGTTAAGAGGCTCAAGGTGTGTTTAGTCATGAAACAGAGATGCTGTTAGCCGTCATCAAGAATTGTGAAACTACATGCCATGTATGTGTGTGTGTGACTTATCTTTCCTTCATAAAGAGTATTGATAATGTGCAACAGTTTGCTGTCTTTAACTGGCTCAAAAGAAAAAGAGAAAAAATACCCACAAGGGGGCATCCTTGATTCTGTTTGATGTGAAAAGCTGCCTCTCACCTGCTGAAAGGTTTTCTTCACAGTTGGAGAGTTGTAATTTGGCATCCAGCTGATGCAGTTCTGAATCGACTGCAGTCCAACGTATTACAGAACAACATTTTCCAAGTAAATTAAAGTTGATTGATCGCATGTTACAAAATATTATGTAGTCTAAGCATCACTGACTGGAAAAAAAATGCCAATTGAGGGCCTGTGTGACCCCTGGGGATATAAATATCTTTTTTGGTGGGGGAGGGAGCGTATGAAAATTAAGTGTAACTACACACCAACTACAGTAGGTGGCAGTGGCACTCTCATTGTCAGAGTTTGCGCTGGGAGTTTCAGAGCTAAGGTGTCTTGGCAACTAGCATGTGCATACACGTCACAGAACAGGAGATATGAAGGTCAGTGAACAAACCCCTTAAGAGACACCATTGTAAATATGTAACTGGGATGAAAAGAAAGATGGAGAGATTTTAAAAATCTATTTTGAATTATTCTTTGTTGTAAATTGATCTGTATTTATTTTGTTTTCTCATCATGATAATAAGGGTGCAATGTCATGCAGAGGTGTACTTATCACTAGTCAAATGATACGATAGCCGCAGCGGAGAGTTGTGGGGCCATGAAATATTTTCTTCTTCATTCGGTGGGGGGCGTAACAGAAAAATTGGGATGATAGGGTGATGCTAGAAATCCAGAAACAAATGGCTGGTTTAGCTTTTTTCATTTTATTTCCTTCTGTCTGGTGTGTTCTTTTATAAGTTTAAAAAAAAACATGCCACTAAAGCTTTAGGTAGAAAATGCAAAAAAAAAAAAAAAAAAAGTTAAAAAAAGTGAATGTGTTGAAAACTATTAAATCATGCCTTTTCTTGCTGCCACCCAAGCAAACCTTGTTGAGCTGAAATAACAAATTCATGTACCGGGCAAATATGTCTTACTGCTGTGAGCAGCAGAGAAGATGACATCATGCTTTGTGCAAGTGGATTCCTAGTAAGTCCTCAAGCGTCATGACATCATTGCTGCATCATCATTAATTGACACTCTTGTGTTCTCACCAGTCAATTCACCAAAAGGATGCGGACCCCTTTGAAGCGAAGGTGAAAAAGGAAAGGAATCAAGGGGTCCTTAGAAAGAACAGGCCTCTCTTTGTGCTCCAGTAAATCTCAGGTCAGGCAACTGCTGCTGTGATTGAAAGGCTGCCAAAATAAAAGCAAGCCTCTTATTTACTGCTTTAAGTATGACATAGCTGATTGAGCCACCACTTTTTTTTTTCCATTTCCACTCTCTTGTTTGACATTTGCAGTGAGTGTGTCTGCATGGCCCAGAAGCTCCGAGGAAAGGGGTGAAGGCCATTGTTAAGGTGTTGCTATGGTTACCGCACCCATAGACAATGCTGCATTAAAGGCTGCATTGAATCCTGAAGTGCATGTACTGTGAAACGGCCACATACGCTCTGAAGGTGTTGTCTCGCAAAAGCATTTACTTGAAGTTGAAGAATCATTTTTACACCGCCATCAGTTAAAGAGCATCAAACAGGCTACATGTTGCAATTTTCACTTTGAATCCTATCTCTTGTGTTGGAATGCTTGAGTTTTTAACTTTCTGGGTTGATGCGTTTTCGCTTCTTAACCGAGACATCTTTTCAGTGTGAGGTTCAGTGGGAGTAAATGAGAGAAGAAAAAGGATGTTTGCCCCCGTAACTGTGCCCCCAGCGCGAGCCCCCTCATACCACCCTTGTTGTCATGCACAGGCACTCTCCCTTTGGAACAGAACTTGGCTGGCAGGACAACAGCCATGTGTTTTTGCTCCACACTTTGAAAAACTTTTCAGTTGTGTGGGTTTCTGAGAATGAGAGCAAAGAGGAGGGGGCCGAGAGTGGCAAAAGTGAGATATGGAGCGTAGAAGGAGCTGCAGTCCAAAACCAGGTGGTATTGATTTAGTGATTCGATTTTCAAGATAAATCTAGTGTACAGCATTTGGGATCAGCCAACATACAGAATTGCAGGTAAGTGCACTCTTTTTACCTTCATCTTATTGTGTGGTCCAAATTGGCTGAGTTTTCATTTCTTCAACACTGTGTGTAAGTCTTCAGCCACCATTGATTTGTTTCTTCCTCTCTTCACCAATATTTAACATTAAAAACGGGCGCATCTTGAATTTGGAGCCAGGGCAAGTCCAGTCTAGTGATGGCAATGCGTCACACTTGGCGTTCCAGCACACACAAAGCTGCCTCGTCCCTGATGCACCTGATAATTTGGTAACAGAAAGTAGACCACGCTCAGCGCAAAAAGGGGCACATCTCCATTTTTGTGCTGGGGAAAGTCTATTGTAGTCTGTTTGTGAGTTTGGTACATCACGCTGCACGTTGATTGGCATTTCTGCAGACCGAGGGCATTTTCTTTTACACTCTCGCCACATCTTGCAATACATTGGAAAAATATACTAAATTTTAGACTATCTACAATCACATCTATCTTGAGGTGCAGATATTATAATAACGTGATTTTAGTGTACATTATATGATTACGGCGGAGGCAGACAGATTCGGCATCGGCGTCATGGATGTCATCGCATTTCATTCATAAATCTGACAACAGCATAATTTTAGAAATTAATTCATTTTAATTATTTTCTGTCATCACTATGATATTGAAAATATTTTAATAGCACAACCCTGACTGCGCAGCACAACTTGTGGGATTTTGGGCAGGGGCAGGTGGATGTTGCTGGTCGTGGGTGCAAAACAGTCTCCAATTGCTTACCTCACATGTGCGGCTGAGTACGTCATCCGCAAGTGGAGATCTTGCAGTTTAAGTAAGATCAAGCGCAGCTTGACATGTGCTGATGTTTTTTTTTTCCAGAGATCCCACACTGAGCCCTCTGTCATACATCCCACAGGATCATAGTTTAGTTTTCCCCCTCCTTTTTTCATTCTTTTTTTTCAGCTAAAAAATGTGGTGCCGCCTGGCGACTTGTCCCACCATGTTGGCATCATTGTCTTCTGTTCTTGGAAGGGTTGAAAATGTTAAATGAATTTTTCTGTTCTGTACCCGTGACATGTGCAATGACAATAAAATTCGAATTCAACTTCAACATGACCCGAAAATATGCCAAATGTCATGGTGAAAATGTGAAGAATAACCAATTTTTCAATAAAGATTCGGTAAATTTCCCATGGGTCACGTACACACAGTACTTCCAAAAAGGCATGTTCCTTGCAAATGCAGCATAAGTGAAAAGGGAACTAAACAGATTCACACGCAAATCTACCAATCACAAATTTCTATGCTCTTTTAGTTTTTAGATTTTGTATATCAACTAGCAGTCGCAGTGATGCAGCGCGAGGAGGTGTCGGCACGAGAGGAGTTCACCTACAGCCCCATGTCCACTCTGGAAAGAGGCAGTGGCTCGCTGGGAAGACGAGGTAGCAGGGGAATGGAGAGGAGAGTGGACAGGGGGGAGCAGGATGTGTCCGAGCGGGACAGCTACACTGTGGATGTGAGGGCCAGTGACCTGCAGCTGGCCCAGCCGGAGCCTCGAAAGCACCCCTGCTTCAGCTACAGGGCCTGGCTCTACAGCGTCCTCATAGGGGTAAGAGGAGGCAGATGATAGGATTCACCTCTTCAGGCTCTTCCACACAAGTTTTAAAAGCTTGGCATGGTCTCTTTCAATGCGGAAGAACCTCGCTCTTGAAAATTTGGGTGTGATGGTAACAAGAATCTTATTCTCTGCTTCTTGGTTATGTTACAGTACAATGAGCAAAAGTCATTACCTGTGCTCATTAGGTTTCTTGTTGAAGCAATGCTGCAATTTACAGTAAGGCATATGGGGGGGGGGGTATTAATTACCAAGCATTGGTTATTCATTACTTTACTTTGTTAACAGTTTGCTCAGGCTGAAGAGCAAGAGCAAGAGCAACCTCCTGCATGCCAAATGGGGAGCCCATTTATCTGCACCGCATTTCCCCTTTTTAAATAATACTGTATATTGTAGCATATCATTAATATTTCTTCCAATAAGGCACGTATTTACCCATAAAGAAGAGACTCATGGTGACCACAGCATTACAAACTATTGATAGTGACATTACTACACTTTACATGAAAAAACATTATAAATCTGGCAACTTTATTATGAAGAGGCAACATATGTGGACAGCTGGGATAGGCTTTGGGCTTATCCTCGTGAGGATAAGTGGGTTAGAAAATAGATGGACGTATGGAAATATACAGGGTGTCCATAAAGTCTCTTTACCATTTCAAAAATTTATTAAAAATGCAATTGATCAGATATTTTATTCAGATTTGTTCGATTGTATTCAGTGTTTATTAAAGTTTAGCCCAAAGGTGAATGTGTGGTGTGGGATCATGTGCAATTGAATAATTGGTCCATTTTTCTTCACTGAGACATCAATTTCTGCAAATGTTTACCTTTACCTTTTAATGGAATATGTGGCACCACAACTGAATGACCTTCAACCAACCAGCATTTTTCAGCAAGATAGTGCACCACCACATTGGGGGCTGCATGTTCGTGGGTTCCTCAATTAAACATTTGTAGATCGGTGGATTGGAAGGCATGGACCGATTCCTTGGCCGCCATGTTCACCAGATATCACTCCCCTAGACTTCTTTTTATGGGGCTATGTTAAAGATATCGTGCATCGAACAAATATAAGGGACATTACTGACCTAAAGCAAAGGATGACTGATGCCATTGCCATAATTGACGAGGGTATGCTACAGCCAGCGAACATGGCAAGAAATCGAGTACCGTCTTGATGTGCTTCGTGCAACTAATGGTGCCCATGTCGAAGTGTATTAAAAGAGGTTAAAAAAAAAACTTTAATAAACGCTGACTACAATATAACAAATCTGAATAAAATATCTAATCAATTGCATTTTTAATAATTTTTTGAAATGGTAAAGCGACTTTATGGATACCCTGTATATGTAAATTGTAGTTAATTCCCTCAAATTTTCCAATGGAAATGTTTTGGTCAGAGTAACTTGCACATTGATGACATCGAATGTATAAGAACACAATTATGGTGTTATCTCTTGCCTTTGTTAATGCCAATGCCCACCTGAATGGGTGCCTGTACGTGGTCACAGGGCAGTCTACTCATCACCTCTGGGTTCTCTTTGTACCTGGGAAATCGCTTTCCTGTTGCCATGGACTACCTGCGCTGTGCTGCAGGCTCAGTAAGTGAAATCACATTCTTAGCTATTCCCTTCTGACTGGCTTTGAACTCAATATAAATGCCATTTGCAACAGAAAAGATGTATTTAAGAGTTTGCACTTATTTTGAACTGTGTGATTTTTCTTTACAGGGCATACCAGCAGCAATTGCTAGCTTTGCTATTGCCAAGAACAGACATATTTCAGTAAGTTATGCATAGGACTAAAGACACATTAATTTCAATTAATGCCAACCTTTTTTTTTTTTTTTAATAACACCTTTCATCCAGATATGGCGCGTGTCTTATAGCAGTGCTTCCCAACCTTTTCATGAGCAGAGGCATGTGCTTTGCATTAGAAAAATCTTAAGGCATGCCACCAAACAAAAGCGTCAGAAAGTGACACGGCATGGCTCAGTGGTAGAGTGACCCAGAGGTTGTCGAAGTGTCCTTGAGCAAGATACTGAACCCCCAGTTGCTCCTGAGGCAGTGTCATCAGGAGGTAAATGAGTAAAATAGTGTAAAGCGCTTTGAGTTCCGGAGGTAGAAAATTGCTATGTGAGTGACAGCCCATTTACCATTACAAAAATAACATCTACTAAAATAATTGTGATCGTGTACCAATGAACTCGTAAATATAATTACTTAGTGTGAATTCTGGGCCTGTTTAGGAGAAGATAACACTAATATTCTGTTGTATGAATGGAAAAGGTGCATGGATACACATGGTTAATTGTGCCTTCTGCCATCTAGTGGAAGGGCACTGAATTGTTCTTCCAGTCACTACATTCCTGCCATAGATAAATTAACAAACGTACTTTTACTTTTATAGGAAATAAATACACATTTTTGACAACTGAAGTGGAATTGGATACTTTCCCCGTGGCACACGTGACGATGTTTTTACAAAATATGTGCTGTGTTGGAAATATATTGACTTATGTATGTTTTCATGTTTTTTCAAGGTGTCAGATTTCCAGGTGGTCTATGTGTCAACTTTTGCAGTAACGACCACCTGCCTGGTTTGGTTTGGATGTAAACTGGTCCTCAGCCCTTCAGCTGTCAATGTAAAATCATCCTCAGACTTTAAATTAATCGCATATGAACATCTCGTCGATGTAAACTATTGCAGTCCATGTTCTTGTTCATTGTCTTTTCTACTTCGTATTCTACTGCCTAGATCAACTTCAACCTCATCTTGATGATTTTGCTGGAGGTGTTGATGGCTACGACTGTCATCCTGTCAGCTCGCTCCGGAGAGGATTGCTGCTGCCACAGAAAGGTGCGTGTGTGTCCATCTGATGTTATCCTCCACAAAGATCACGTACTTCTGACTATTCCATTTTATAATCCTTCCACCAGTCTGAGACAAACCAACGAACGTTGGTTACAACCCCTGCAGTATTCCCCACTCGTCTCCTCAAAGCCTACTCTGTGAGTTGCTGCCAGCCAGACTGACATTCTTTTCATGCTCCACGGCTCTCTGTGACGGAAATCTATCTGTGGCAGGTGATCGAAGTCATTGTAGGAATCTCCGCTGTGTTTGGAGGTATCATTGCGCTCAACATGGATGCCTTGCTGCCCGGCCCTTACTTGTCCGTCACATTTTTCTGGATACTTGTGGCTGTAAGTTCTGTTCGCTTTTTACAAGAAAGATAGTAACTGGGTGGTGTGGTAACTAATAGGCAGTGAGGGAATGTATTATTTCAAATCCCAACCAATACAGTAGGGTACATCCCTGAGTGAAAATGTCCAAATCGGCCCATTTGGCCATTTTTTTTTTCTTTCCCATTGTTCTGTCACACTGTAGTGGTACAAGGTTTCGGGTATGAATAGGGAGCAGTTATATTAGAAGACAGTTATTGGAAGTTCAGTACCACCTTATGGCAAAGAACTTTGAGGAAAGTCAACTTTATTATCACCCAATTTGTACAGATTAAGGTTACTTTATAAAGTGTATTGTCTAAATTTACATGCTTCTTTTTTTGATATAGAACAATGGGAGTTTGGAGAAGAGCATTGGAAGAAGTCCATTGGCTGTCCATTAAAAAAAAAAAAAATCATTAAAAATAGCCTATTCCATGCACTGATATGTAGTAGAATCCCTTGAAAGTGTGGAGAGCATCAGTTGCTAAGCTTTTTGAAGCTGAGAGCTACTCAAGTGTGAAAGGCTCCCAGTTTGATGCACACTTTAACAATACATTTTCTGAAATTACCTGTAATGATGTTATCATTCATTAATTGATGATATTCACTGATGTGAAGACACTGATCATGTGTATGATTTCTCACAATAATTGGGAAACGGATAAAAATGAATATACAACTTTTATTTCTACACATCTCTGCCAATGGCCACATTTTTGAATGATCAATTTTTAAAATACTGTCAACCCAGGTTATCACAATGTCCCATCACTGGTGAACTATTTTTAGAAGAGACCCACGGGCTATTGCTGTGGACCCTTTGGGCTACTCGGTGCCCGCGGACGCCACGAGGTGACTCCTGATATAGAGGATTGGTTGGTGTTCAGAGAGTAAACTCCAGGATGAGCGAATTTCATTGCTTCTCATGGACTATAATAAAACAGAGAAAGCAGCTGAGGTTTATATCAATGCCGTGTCTCTGGGCCTTGTCACTTATTGCACATATTGGATGTGATCTGTTCATGTTTGCAGTGTTTTCCAAGTGCAATCGCCAGTCATGTTGTGTCAGAATACCCGAACAAATGCCTGGTGAGTATAACATAGCATTGTACTCTATTAATATAATTTATGCCTATTTAAAGCGTGGCTTAAAATAAATAAATACATTCTCCCACCAAGTATAACTTGTACACCAAGTATAACTTGTACACAGTTGCCTGGGCTTCAAAGATACAGTTGAAGAGTACCAAAATAACTGTTGGTGTATAGTACATAAAGGGTGGAGCTTGAAAGACTGTAGGCTGTCGATTGATGGATAGGCAAGTGCTACTTCCATGGGACAACAGCAATGGAATGGAAACAACACACTTAATTATTTTTCATAAGTCTTTTTTATCCCCTGTCATTCAACATCCCATCACTTTAACACCTTTTATGGCACACTAGGCCCCGAGTGTATTTTATGAGGAAGTTAATAGGGACCCGCTTGTGACTTTATGTATGAATACATCTCCCTTTGAAGACGTATTCTTCAAGCTTTGCTTTCTCTTTGGTGTCATTCAGGTGGAGGTGCTGATCGCCATCAGCAGTGTGACATCTCCTCTCCTCTTTTCAGCCTCCGGCTTCCTCTCTTGTAGTGTCATCAGCTTTATTGACATTTTTCTACACGAAGTGCCGACAGCCAAGGTGAGTTGGATGAATCTATTTATCTCTGACTACTTTAGAAGCACAAATCCCAAATAAGTAGTAATAAGAATCACTTATTTCCACACGGCCATGTTCCAGCAATCCTACGACATCTTGCTGCTGATTCTGCTGGTGTTATTGCTGGTACAGGCCATTTTAAATTCCGCCACCGTGGTGCACTGTGCCTCCTACAAGAGTCAGCTCCGCTTGAGGGCAACACAACAGAGTGATGACAACATGGGAACTTCCAGCCAGTACTGTGGGGTATACGCTGAACACAAAATTCCCATATGTCATCTTTTTTTTTGTTGCCTCTCACTTCTGATTCCAATGTTCCCTAAAAATTAATGTTAATCCACACCCTAGGTATTATATGTTTTGCCATACTAATGCATGCTCTTTACCCGTTATTCTATTGCTCCTCTCTCTCCCAGCAACCATCCAATGGAGTGCTGCAGAACTTCACTAAAGACAGAACCCGGAAGGCAGTTATGGTGCAAATCACTCACTGACTACAATACATGAAAATGAAACTTTAGAGGTGTAAAAAATGTTAAGTAAAAAAAAAAAAAAAAAGAATCTGTTCTGAAATCTGAATTATATTGTGATTAGAGAAGCAAAGGGGAATATATAAAAGTTGTTATATTTGTAGTCCCCAACACATTGGATTAGACTCTTTGGTTCTACAGGATGTCATCTGCACTAGATCTTGATTTTTGTTTGTTTCCTACTAAAGGACAAATCATATATTTAATCTGCAGCATCTATTTTTTTTTTTTTGTGTTGGAACAGCAGGGTTATGGCAATGATGGTATTATTATTGTGTATGTTTGCACTTTTCACAAGGACATGGTGTAAAACACAGTATTACAAGTTCGTGTACTTTCATTGTGTTTTAGATCTTTAAATGTATGTTTTGAGTTCTTCAATACAAGGTTGAACATGCTTTCCACAGCATACTGTAAAACGTTTCATTATAAGTATGTATACACAACAAATAAATTAACTGGAATGTCCAAGGATAAATGTGCAGTAAGTGTGCACCAGAGTATTTGGGGTTTATGATTTGCTTACACACATTAGTTGGACCGTTTTTGGGAAAGACCTTGGATTGCCTTTGACCAAAACATTGAACCCAGCATGTCAATGTCACTCTAGCACCATTAATAATAATAATAATGATGATGATGATAATAATAATAATAATAATAATAATAATAATAATAATAATAATAATATGTTATGGTTGTTGATAATCTGCAGAATTAATGTAATTAAAACATGAATATACTTGTTTTATAATTAAAATTATTTATTATTACCGTCACGGCAAGTCCACATGATCATCATAAATTTGAGTGCGCTCAGCAAAAGGAAGAGACAGTATTTAGGTGTGACATTCAGGATGAGGAACATCTTTTCTAACCGGCACAAACCGGCTTGAGGAGGGAAGCTGACTGACTTGTGGCTTGTCATGAGCATCGGGGCCACCTCCGCATAGCAGAGAAGGGAGTTCAATTTGAGAAAATAGCAACTTTTTGGCGATGGTGTTCAGCAAGGATGCTGCATTAATTACTCATCTCAGCAAATGATGGAAGTTGTCCTGAAGACCTTATACGATTTTTACCCCAGTCTACCTATTTCATTAAATCAATGAAAACCACAACTGCAACTAACGTGATGGTAATGTATTCCAGGGTAATGTATGAATCATGACTGTATGTCATCTGGGCTAAAAGGCTGTTTTGAATAGGCTACTGTACGATGGCCACGTCCAGCTATATATACAGTAGACCTATCTTCATATCCAATACATGAACTATAGTTCTGATAATAATGCTAACCTTTTCAATGACACTGTCAGAATGGATATGGTGAAAACCATTCAATACCCTCAAAATTCTTGAAAACTGTGCCCTAACAGTCAAACAAAACTTGTGAGTTCAAACTACCAATATAGTGTCATCAAGTAATTTATCTACATATCTCAGGAGAATGAGATCTTTGGCTATTTTGTGTGTGTGTGTGTGTGTGTGTGTGTGTGTGTGTGTGTGTGTGTGTGTGTGTGTGTGTGTGTGTGTGTGTGTTTAGTTTTTTTTTTTTTTTTTTCTGATGCCACAGCAGAAGAGAAAACATGGGAGGACAACCATAAAATTATAATTGGAATTTCTAGTATTGAAAATGTAATCTGGCTGTTCAGTGTAAACAATACAAATTATTAGGTTGCAACGGCATATACAAATTAATTTGACCATTTGATATAGAGTAATAATTTAAATGGTGTGAAGATGGTTCAGACTCTTATGGAAATGAACAGAGAAGCCGATGAAGGAACTATTTCCTACTTCTGCTCCCCGTGTCAGTCATGTTGAAAAGGTACAGTATACAGTTTACGTTTCCTTATACAGTACTTGTATGACAGCAACATTAATATTTATCTTAAAATGCTGCCATCATAGTTGAGGGCTTTATGATAGAAACAGTTTGTCATATTTAAAATTGCTTTTAGTTAAATAATTATTAATAATTTGAATACTGTGACAACTACAATGCATAGTATGATGATGATGATGATAATAATAATAATAATACCTCATTTACAGAGTCAACCAAAACTGTCTTTGTGGTGTCAAACTATATTATAATGTACATAATGACTATTGTAGTCCTATTTATTTATTTCCCTAATGAATAAAATCTCTCCAGGAAAAATGCAATGCAAAGATACACAATTGCAAACCATAATAGGCATTCATAGTAGTTGTCTGAACAGGTAATTATCATACATTTATGACAGTTTGTAGAAAATGATAGGATTTGACACAATGACACTATCATTTAATGCAATTAAGAGTTAGCCTATACTTTCAAGCTACTTAAGTGTTCCACCCCCGCAATTTAGACCAACCATCGGAAGCTTACAACCATGGGCGTCATTAGGCCTATTTTAGGGAGGCTTCAGCCTCCCTAAAAATGTCTTTAGCCCCCCTAAATAATTTCATTGCATTATTTAAAAAAAAGTATTATTTATTTTTCCTGTACTTTTGCTAATATATTGCATCAAATTCAACGTAATGTGGCCATTTTAAATTATATTTCGATAACCTGCCATCATTGTGATGTTAAATCTCCCAGGTTTCCTGAACGCAACAGGTGTTGCGTT